AACGTTAGGAAACAAAACTTCCAGGACACGGCCACACAGCCCGGAAGACCCACACCAGCCATGTTTTCACTCAATTTGCCTCAAGAGCCAGTGAAATCTCAGCCCTTCGAAGTAGACAAGGTCAGGAAACAGATTCCATAAGTCTGATCTGAGCTCTGCTTTATTAATAGAGGCTGTAGATATGGATAGGATTACCTTGGCTATGCATTTTTGATATGTTTGAATATGCTTCTTTATTGTTTTTAATTGATGTACTGTTTGTTGTTTTTAATCATGTTTTTCAATGGCTATGAGCTGCCCAGTCTTGTATGGGGATGGGTGGCTATATAAATTTGATTGATAAGTAAATAAAGTGACAGAATCATGAACGCATGATTGAGTTTTCTCCTCTCTTCCTCATATGCGCCAGTAAATTAGGGATTTTTGAGTTTGTTTCTCATGCTTTCTCTGTTTCCCAGGCTTAAAGAATGTTTTTCTAACCATGTCTAGTTTCACAGATCTTTTCTGTGACTCCCGACAGCGATGCTTCTCAGCTTTGGCAACTTTAAGATGTGTGGACTTCAACTCCCAGAACTCCCCAGCCAGCAGAGCTGGCTGGGGAATTCTGGGAGTTGAAGTCCACACATCTTAAAGTTGCCAAGCTTGAGAAACACTGCCCTACAGAAATTATTAGTCCTTCCCTCTAACAGCCCCTTTTCCTTTGACACAGCAAAACGATCCAAGTTTCATCTCTAATCTCTAGTCCCCACTAAAGCTTTTGGGGATTTCTTTGTTAATCTTACTTTTCTTGTTTAGCTTCTTTGGTCTAGGAGCTTTAATTTTTTTTCAGCTGTAAAAACTTTTCTTTTTTCAGTAATCTTTTTTTCAAGATTTGGAGAGGGTAGAGGCAGAATATTCACTGCAGAACATTTACATCCCTTAAAAATTCTTTTTTTAATAATACCCCAGATCAATGTCATGATTTTCTGCATTGTTTTTGGAAACAAAGTCAAGAGCTGGAATGGGAACCTCAAACATACAGAAATGCCTCTTCAGATTCTATTATTAGATACTGTAAATCTTCTCTTCTGAAATATGCTCAGCAAATGTTGGTAATTTAGGATCAATTCAAGCTTCTTCCAAAGCCTAACAATTGTCCAAATACTGCCATAATATATATATGAGGAAAACCTTTTTTGTAAAGTATATATTGTTGGATCAAATAACTTTTTCAGTTGTTTTACCATTCTCTTGTTACAGCTTCTAACGATCCAGGAAAACTTTTGCTGGTTTATTTCTGTATTTACATCATTTCGGTATTTCAACTGTTACAACCTAATGTTTTACAACCTTTTCCAGTTACTCTACGGTCATTTAGTGGTGTTGTAACTGTAAGTAAAACTTGCTTTTCTTCAACTACCATGGGTCCGGCGTGTTACGTTCTAGATGTTGCTCCACTTGAATTTAGAAGTCCCGTAAAACATTTACATGATCACTCTGGAACACTTTTTCAACATTACAGCCATATCAATATTTTGGGGCACCAAACCTATACTTTTATATAAATTCCAATGTACCATTTTTGCTACACGATCATGCCTTCTCATAAAATTGGACTGGTCAATTTTGGTACAGCTTCTTAGTGGGTAGTCAACCATCTCACCTTTCTCTTTGCATAATCTACATTATTTATTTTATTTATTTATTTATTTATTTATTTATTTATTTATTTATCCAATTTATATAGCCCCCCATCTCACTTTGACAAGCTACTCTGGGTGGCTTACAACAAAGTTAAAACAGCAATAAGTATCTAAAAAGCACTCTGATTATTAACTATTAAAACATTAAAAAC